TCGTTGTGGATGCCGAAACTGTATTATTTTTATGTCATTATGGTTTTCTGTTGACAATTCTGTGCTATAAGTCCGACCGCATCAACTTGATTATCTTTATTTCTTTCCTAATAGTTTTCCTCATTTTCCTTGCAGATGCGATCTTCGAGAGGTCTTGGCGATGATGATGAACAATAAAAGTAGTTACTGGGTAAATAATCATCAGCAAGTAAGGTTGTGTATTTACATCTGTGATTCAATTCGAATCACCCACCAAGAAGAAACACATCGTCGGTGATGATGAACAGTAAAAGTAGTAGACTGAGAAATAGGAATCAAGAAACAACATTTCGTGTGATTTTACTCTGTATTTGCACAAATTTGTTCATTCTGTCATCACATTATCCCAGCAACACAGGTGAAAATCAAACAATTAATCCGAGAAGCGGAAGAAACATATGTTTACGGTTTACGAACGCAGGAAAACCTTCACATTTCGTAGCCTGTCATAACCGTTATTTCGACAGAATTGAGTGGAAGGTATGTTATAATCATCACTTATTTAATCCACAGTGACTGAGATAACGAACCTGATGACACAATCCAAAACATGCACTTATTCTTCAGGTATGAAAAGTCCTAATTCACCATCCCTGTAGGATAGTTAAGACATAAATTTGTCCATAAATATTCTATGCGCCAGATTTTGAGCCCGTTTATGAGATTTTAAGGGTATTCTATATAAGGACCCTTTCAAGGTAGGATAACGTATTAATGCTAGAAAATAATAACTTAAATCAAAATAAATTTTAAAACTTATTGTAAGTTTACAAATGTCATCAACAAAAAAAGCAGTTCATTTGTTGCTAATACGTAACCAATAGCTGACATCATTATCACCATAACTCGTCGAAATTCCCATCACCTCTGCAATCCTCGGCAACGCCATCATTCACGGTAGAAGATTTCAATAATTTCTGGATGAGCTTACGAGAGGTATGAACGTAAAAATGTGTGTGTGAAGAGCATAAATATTTATTTTTTTAATTTTTTTTTGGTGGTTTGAAAAATATAGTAAGAAAAGTGGTGATGTTGTCTAGCCAATAAAACTGGAATAACGCCTATTGATTTCATCACCCGCGCATTTTAGTGGGACCATTTCTTGTTCGTCTAAAATACGCCATGGCACTGACCTTCACATTACTTAACCTCTCTCCCCTTTCTTCCTTTGTTTTGAAGCAGCAGAAAACCAAGTACGTACGTGTTTGTCACGCGCCATCCTTCTCTCTCTCTCTCTAACAAACCATTTCCGCTCCAACCGTCTCAGTCTGCATCACACTCTCATAGGTTATCTCTCTCGCTCGCTGTAAGACTCGACGCTCTTAAACTCTGTTTGGTTGCCGAGAAAAACCCTCGGAAAATAATAAAAAAATGAAATATTAGGGCTCGATTTTGACTTTCGCTTCCCGGCTTTCTTCCCGGGAACCAATCGGAGCTCTGACTGATCGGAATTTCTCTTCTACAGGTCCTCGTAAGATCGTTGTCGTGAAGCCGTGTTGGTTTGCGTCAGATTTCTTCAAGGTGAGTGTTGCCGCATCCATTTGTTCTGCGATTCTAAGATTCTCAATCGAAGCCCTAATTTTTGTTACCTTCCGATTCGCTTCCATTGATTCGTTTTAATAGATCTGCTAATTTCGGTGTTGGTTTTTGCAGTGAATTTACAGCGAAAATGGTTTCCTTCGAGATGAATGATAGAAAAAGTGAGTAATTTTAGTATTTTTTGCTTCTCGTTGTTTTTCAAGAGATTTGGATACTTTTGATTACGCTGTTTGATCAATATATTCATATGTATCTTGTTTAGTGAACAACTTGTTACATTTGGATGCTTTTAATTACTTTGTTCGATACGTGTATTATGTAATCTTGTTTATGTGATTAGTTTGTTTTTGGTAATACTGATAATTAATTATTTGAAAACTGGAAAGATAATTTAGTGAATCTAAGACACGAGATGTCTGTTACGATATTCTCCAATCTAAATTGTTGTTTGTGCAATTGGAACAGAGATTGGACTAGGATTGACTGGATTCGGTATATTTTTCACGTGCCTGGGAATGGCTTTCTTCTTTGACAAGGGATTGCTTGCAATGGGAAATGTAAGTGTCTTTTATAATTAATACCAAGGCTTCTTGCTCTTTTCTCTCTGGTTGTAGTTGTACCTTTTATTGTTTTAGTCATTGTTCTACTTGATCCGCGTGTTAACACTGCTCATTTGTTTGTGGTATTTAATCAGATCCTCTTCTTGTCAGGGGTGACTTTAACCATTGGATTTAAGCCCACGATGCAATTCTTCATGAAACGTCAAAATTATAAGGTTTATGACGATTAACCTTTCTCTCCATGCGCGCATGTTTGTCCGTACATGTATAACTTTTGTCTTTAACCAGGTTTTTTCCTTTAACTGTACAGGGAACAATTTCTTTGGTGTTGGCTTCTTCTTTGTGATCATAGGGTGGCCTATTATTGGCATGATTTTGGAGGCATATGGGTTCATCGTACTCTTCAGGTCTCTAGGATTTTTTAATATGATCTTTTTGCATACTAATAAATTGATTTCTTCATATATGAAGTTGCTGATGGAATGTGTTGTGCAGCGGCTTCTGGCCAACACTGGCAGTTTTTATTCAGAAGATTCCAGTTCTTGGCTGGCTGTTTCAACAGCCATATGTTAGATCGGTATGTTTATTTGCTATTAATCATTCATAATAGTGGATTAATTTTATGCAATGTCTGCTCCAATTGCACATTCATGAAAACTATTAAAGTCAAAACTGGGAAGTCCTTGTGTCTTATTTGTTTTAATAACACGATTTACATCTGTATTTGGCATGGGGGTTAGCCTAGCCATTTTTCTGTTCTTAGAACCCTGGTCAATTATTGTTAAGCATGAAGACGAACGTATAGGAATGAGGAGCGCATTGTTCAGTACTAAGAGATTATTTGACGTGACTGATAGATAATGCAAACTTGAGCCTTTTTGCCTTAAGCTGGATAGTAGTTACAAAAGTAAGAGACCGTGTTCATTACACACCCTTCTTTTTCTAATAATCTAAAAACTTCATTGAAAGATAATTTGCTTTCTTTCTTCATTTGTAAAGGAAACTCTTAAAGCACAAAAGACTCGTATTCAACCTTATCTTCATTTCTCATCTTGTGAACAATTCTCAGCTTCTTTTGTTGGCAATTTTCGTAATCATAACTGTTTAGATCATTAGTCATAGTGAATTAGTTTCAAACACAAGTGAAGCACATTTTTTTTTCTCAAAAACAAAGAGTACACTGATATAATTAAGATAAGAGCAGTTCTTGATTTTTATGTATTGTCTTAGGATTATGCTATCATTTTTGTGAAAGCTGTTACTTTTCACTCTTTTTCGTAAGTCGAGAATTGTATTTCTTTTATGTCTTGGTGTTTGACTTGGAGAACTAAAAATGAATGAAATATCAAAAGGCAAAGGGTTAATTGACACATGGTGTTTCAGCAGGTTAATTGGATTTACCTGGAAACAAATTTGAAAGAGCTTTGAACCTTTTTTATAGTAATAAACAGGACATATTTGTCATGTTTCTTAACGTATTTTGTCCGAATCATGTTTAGTTTGACCAGTTGTTGCTTTAGTCCTAAATAGAGTAATGGTTGTAAGATTAATTATGGGGTTAAGTTATTACCTTGTGATTTGCTTAAAATTTCTTAGATTCTTGGAAGAATCACTTGCAATATTCACTTGGCTTAGATCCATGCCTAGTTCCATCTTTGATTTATACAACCTTCCAACAGAGGAGTCGAAGAATTTCGGCATTATGGTCCAAAAGCTTTAATTCCCTTTCTAGCTAGTTGGCCTATTTCATGTCCAATACAAATTTTCCTTGGTACCGTAGAGTCTCTACCCTTTAGGTGGTAGCACTTTATCAATATATATCATATATGACGCTGGCACCTCCTCGCACGACAATAAGTTCAAATAATCGAGGGTATAGTCTGTCTGTCTGTGACTCTATATGTTTATATTAGTATTTCTTCTTGCCTGAATATGAGCTTTATCTGTGCTATTCCCATTGCAATTAGATGACTTGTTTGTGTTTACCCCCTATCCCACTCTGATGTGCAGGTCTTTGACCGATATCGTGGCCGACGGGTGCCTGTGTAAGCAAGGAAACAGAGTGCCACTAATCTGCGGGCTGGCGAACCTGTAATTTCTTGTAAAATACTTTTTAGATGGCGCAGCATAATTCTTTTTATTCAGTTTCCAAAGTGACCGTAGGAAATGATCTCAGTGAATGGGCTTTTATCTTTTACCAAGAAGAAAAAAAAAAAAAAAAAAGTTGAAAGTTACATATGAGCTTTATGTGCACTATTTTGTCTTGGTTTTGCTTATTTTGTTACCTTTGCTAAGTGTAAAATTCTTAGAAAAAACATTTCAAATAACTATCTAATGTTTGGAAACTTGGGAATCTATCATGTCACTAGTGTGTTTAAAATATTAGTATAAGTGGAAATATTGATGGATCGGTATCGATTGTTTTCGATAAAATGGTTAAAATTTAAAATTATACTTTAGGGAATGTTAATTATTGTTGGTTTAAATGAAATATAAAAAACAAATTCGATATTTAATTGATATGTCGAAAATTTCGAAGAAATTTGTTGACTTTACCCCCTCTTGTCATCTCCTTTTCCGATTTTGTCAATATTTTACGGAAATATTAACAAGAAATTCCTAACACTCCATATCACTAGCATGAAGTGATGATGTGAAGAAATACTAAAGCTTTTTCACCCTTACGTGGTCTATGGGACCCTAAATCTCCAAATCAACCCCTTGTACCCAGTAAACTGAAGTTTAACCTGGCTAATAGGGATCCATTTGAAGATTCAGAATACATATTTGGAATGCTCTAGAATTTACTTCTGCTCAAAACACTTTTATTTTTATTAGGCGTGCATAGAAATCTTCAATAAAAATCCAAATGGAAGTGATCCTGAGGAAGCACACGTTAGTACTTCTCAAAAAAGCAATTCCCAGTTCCTTACAAACTATAATCACTTTTAGCTTTATGTCAAAACATTGTCGAAAGGGCTTTTGGTTATTTAGAAGCGCTATAGCCATTCTAATGACACTGATATAGATTACTAATATGCATACAGGATCGTAACGTAACGGACCATCTTTGTAACATCAAGGGTGAGAAGAAAACTCAACTGCGAAGCTTTCGATTTTTTTACAGACGATAGTAAGTGTAGCATTCGTCGAAGGATCAAAATACATTGAAATAGCCCATTCCAGCATTTATTGTGTTTCGCCCTTCGATTTTTTTTCTTGTTGCGGCGTTGCCTTTGACGGAAAAGCTGGTGGGCTACAGCTTTCTTCTGGTCATGTGTTTTTGTGTAATCTTTCCTTCTTGTCGTTCTTGGGTGGAAAACATTCCCAGTCATGCTTCTTCTAGTCATGCTTCTTGTGAGAACACCTACACTACAGCTAGGCGGAATCTTGCGAATTTTCTTATTTTCTTCTGTCATCGGGTTCTTGTCCTCCTTAACCTTAACCTTCTTATGCTTAGCTGGAGTTTCAGTTGTTCCAGAATCCACATTTGGCACTGGACTACGATTTTCCATCTTTAAACCGATTGGTGATCCGGTATGACCAGAAGCATTGTCCCTGGATGTTTTCAGTATATCACTGAAAATGCTCTTTACTAGTGAACAATAATCAGAGTCTCCAAAATTTAAAATTGACAGATCACGTGCCCTTGTCACTGGTAGATCATCTAAAGAGAATGGTAAAGAGTTACTCTCGTTGGTTCCTGAAGAAACGTTGAACTTTTTATAAGCTGAATTCCTCATTGAAGAAACTATGTCGGTTGAATTGTCACCCGTGACAACAGCAGCATATTCCTCCCAGTCAAAAGGAAATCCAAGAAGAAAGTGATCGTATAGCTGACAGATTAGAAGGCATAATGTTAAGTTCACTAGGAAAGTTGGAAGAAACCTTAACCACTAACTTATATCTTCAGAAGTCCCGACAAAATATTAACTATATCAATTCAATCATAGAGGAGTGCTGACATTTTCATTCGTTTATTTTTATCAAACAGGGTTATGAAGAGTTAGAACATAGTAATCCCCTAGTCAATGACAGTACCTACTTGTGACGGGGCATCTCCTATTTTTTTTCAGTCCCTTGCATTTAGGCCTCGTTTGGTGTCTAGGATTGGATTGTAATGGATAACCCACTATGAAAAATCATTCGTAGTTTGTTGGAGGAAGAAGTTAAAATTATGTCCCGAATCCTGCTTGAAGGTAACCCACTCAAAATGAAAACTCATTCGCCTCCACCTTCAATATACCTTGAATTTTATGAATTAAGAAACTAAGTGGGTTGGTCTTAAGGCAAAGGATCTAGAAAACTCAGGGTTTAAGCTTTGGTATTCGGGCACAAATAGAACGAGAAACGGTATTGGCATCATTGTGGACAAGACCTTGACACAAGATGTTGTAGATGTCAAGAGGGTAGGAGATAGAATCATGGCAATCAAGATTGTAATAGGACAAGAACTCATCAATGTGATTAGTGCGTACGCACCTCAAGTAGAGTTGGATACGAGTTCGAAGGAGAAATTTTGGGAAGACCTTGGAGACTTGGTGCAAGGAATTGCTCAGACGGAGAAGTTATTTATAGGAGAAGATTTAAATGGACAAGTGGGCAGGGAGACAGGCAACTATGGAGGTTTTCATGGTGGCCATGGTTTTGGGGAGAGAAATGAGGATGGGGAAGCTATCTTGGATTTTGCAATGGCATATGATCTCTTTTTAGCCAACACCTTCTTTAAGAAGAGAGAAGAACATGTGATCACCTACAAGAGTGGGTCGTCAAAAACACAAATAGATTTTCTTCTAATGAGGAAAGGGATCGTATAACTTGTAAGGATTGCAAAGTTATACCGGGGGAGAGCTTGGCTAATCAACATCGCTTGTTGGTGATGGATGTACATATCAAAAGAGTGAGAAAAAAGAACAAGACTTGGAAGTGCCCAAAGACTAGATGGTGGAATCTAAAAGGAGAAAAACAAGTCATTTTCAAAGAGCAAATAATCACCCAGTGTGTGGGATAGAGAGGGGGAAGCTAGCCAAATGTGGGATTCCATGGCTAGCTGTATCCGAAAAGTAGCAAAAGAGGTATTAGGAGAGTCCAAGGGCTTTGCTCCACACCAAAAGGAATCTTGGTGGTGGAATAAGGAGGTACAAACAAAGGTGAAGGCTAAGAAGGAATGTTGTAAAGCCTTATATAGGATAGGACCGATGAAAATGGTGAAAGGTATAGAAGAGCGAAGCAAGAGGCGAAGAAAGCTGTGAGAGAAGCTAAGTTAGCGGCTTATGACGATATGTATAAGCGACTAGATACCAAAGAAGGAGAGTTGAATATCTATAAACTAGCTAGAGCAAGGGAAAAGAAGACAAGGGACCTAAACCAAGTGAGGTGCATCAAGGATGAGGATGGAAAGGTTTTTGCTACAGAGAACGCGGTCAAAGACAGATGGAGAGGTTATTTTCATAATCTTTTCAATGAAGGACATGAAAGGAGTACTCCTTTAGGGGAGTTGAGTAACTCAGAAGAGTGTAGAAACTACTCCTTTTATCGTCGAATCAGGAAGGAAGAAGTGGTTGTAGCTTTGAAGAAGATGAAGCATAGAAAAGCAGTGGGCCCAGACGATATACCGATTGAAGTGTGGAAAGCCTTGGAAGAGACAGGTATAGCATGACTCACTGACCTTTTCAATAGGATTTTGAAAACGAAGAAGATGCCAAACGAGTAGCGAAAGAGCACCTTGGTGCCTATTTACAAGAATAAGGGCGACGTACAAAATTGCATGAACTATAGGGGTATTAAGCTAATGAGTCATACAATGAAGCTCTGGGAGAGAGTCATTGAGCATAGATTGAGGCAAGAGACACGGGTTTCGGACAACCAATTCGGGTTCATGCCAGGGCGCTCAACCATGGAGGCAATCTATCTCTTACGAAGATTGATGGAAAGATATAGAGATAGGAAAAAGGATTTACACATGGTCTTTATAGATTTGGAAAAAACGTATGATAGGGTCCCAAGAGACATTCTTTGGAGAATTTTAGAGAAGAAAGGAGTACGAGTAGCATATATCCAAGCTATAAAGGATATGTATAAAGGAGCAAAGACTGTTATAAGAACTCATGAAGGACAAACCGAAAGCTTCCCCATAACTGTAGGATTACATCAAGGCTCATCCAAATCCTTACCTTTTTGCGTTGGTAATGGATGAGTTAACAGGACATATTCAAGATGATATTCCTTGGTGTATGCTTTTCGCAGACGATATAGTGTTGATAGATGAAACTCAGGAAGGGGTAAATGCGAAGCTTAACCTTTGGAGAGAAGTGTTGGAATCTAAAGGTCTTCGCCTAAGCCGATCAAAGACAGAATATATGGAGTGCAAGTTCAGTGCAAATGGAGGACAAAATGAGTTAGGGGTGAGGATCGGAGATCAGGAAATACCAAAGAGCGACCGTTTTTGCTACCTAGGATCTATCTTGCAAAAGAACGGAGAATTAGATGGAGATCTCAACCATAGAATACAAGCTGGATGGATGAAGTGGAAGAGTGCATCCAGCGTGTTGTGTGATCGTCGTATGCCACTGAAGCTTAAGGGAAAATTTTATAGGACGGGAATAAGGTTGGCGATGCTGTATGGCACAGAATGTTGGGCGGTGAAGCACCAACACGTACACAAAATGGGTGTAGCGGAGATGAGGATGCTTCGTTGGATGTGTGGGCACACGAGAAAGGATAAGATTAGGAATGAGGATATCCGAGGTAAAGTAGGAGTAGCCGAAATTGAAGGAAAACTGAGAGAAAATCGGTTACGGTGGTTTGGACATGTGCAAAGAAGGCCTACTGACGCTCCGGTTAGAAGATGCGACTACGGGATAGAGGTTCAGGGCCGAAGGGGTAGAGGAAGACCTAGGAAAACTTTGGAAGAGACTCTAAGAAAAGACTTAGAGTACTTGGATCTAACGGAGGACATGACACAGGATCGAGCACAATGACGTTCTAAGATTCATATAGTCGACCCGACTCAGTGACTTGGATTTTTCAAGACTCCAATCGAGAAGTTTTCCCCACTCGGGAAATTAAGGGAACACTACCTCAACCTACATGCTCCACTCACAAAGCTTCAACATACAAGCTTCAACAAAAGAAAAATTCAAAGAACTTAGTGAAGAAGGTTTTGGTGTATTTAACACAATACGTTGAAATGAAACAAAGCTTATTTATTGATATCTCTAAGAAGTTACAAATATGTACATATACACGAGTCAAAATAAACAAACAAGAGGAGCCTTCACAAATGTTGCTTAGGAGAAGTCTCAGCAGTCGGCAGAGCCCCAGAAAGAGAAGGCACCGGAAGGGGATCATTCGGAGCCTCAGTACTGGACAGCACCCTAGAAGGAGGAGGCATCGGAGGTTGATCATTTGGAGCTTCATTACGCGGTACAGCCCCAGAAGACGAAGACAATAAATGCCTTTGGAACAAACCCACAAACCTCTGATGATCATGTAAAATCTGACCATCAGATTCCTTCATCTGGTCAAGCTTCCTCTTCATGTTTGTAGCATAGTCATGAGCGAGCCGGTGCAACTGTTTATTCTCATGCTTGAGCCCTCTAATCTCCTGTTTGAGACTCATCATTTCAGCCGCCAATGATTCAACTTGGCGGGTTCGAGCAAATAGGCGTTGTGCCATATTAAACACAGAACCTGCACACTGAACACTGAGAGCCAGAGAATCCTTAACAGCCAACTCATCAGACCGTTTGGAAAGTAGTCTGTTATCTTTGGGAGTGAGAAGGTTCCTGGCCACCACCGCAGCGGTCATATCATTCTTCATCACGGAATCCCCAACGGTAAGAGGACCAGTAGGGGATAAGAAGGATGGGCGCCATATGTTGTTTGGAGAAGGCGTGGCTGCCTCTTTAACAAGGTTCAAGTCAAAACGACGGTCGGAGGGGCCAGACATTTTCAAAGGTGTTGAAGAGAAAAGAGGTCGGACAAATCAAGATCTTAAAAATGCAAGAAGGGAGCTTCTACTGGTGGAGATTCAAGTGTGCTTTGGAACTTAATACCAGCCTCTATAAAAATCCGCACTCGATGGAGCTTCAGAAATCGAAGAGGCGCCTGCTCAGAAATCGAAAGGCGTTTGCTTTCTCAAAAGCTGAGCTGCTCAGAGACCACGAGGGCCGATCTCAGGAATCGAAGAGGCGTTTGCTTTCTCAAAAGCTGGGCTGCTCAAAGACCACGAAGGTCGATCGTAGAAATCGAAGAGGCGCTTGCTTTCTCAAAAGCTGGGCTGCTCAGAGACTACGAGGGCCGATCTCAGAAATCGAAGAGGCACCTGCTTTTTCAGCCTTGTCAGCACCTGTCACATGCACACAACTTTGCGGAAATTACGGGCATTCTGTCGAAGATTTCTAGTGAAGTAGAAAGCACGTGAATGTTATTGTTCAATCATTCACTTTCCACACGCAACATCAGCTCACGGGTACTACAGATAACTTTGCCAAAAATCTCTGACAAAGTTTAGACACGTGAAGCTTGCAGCTCCCATTACATCGCTATGACCAAGAAGGGTAAAAGAATAGCAAAGAAACGCACTAACAAAGTTTAGACACATAAATTTTGAAGGTCTAGCTACCATATTATTATCCACAAGGGTAAAGGAACAGGACAATTGCTGGATAATTGGAAAGTCCATGTGGGTCAACCTCTGTGCTCCGTGGCAAGGTAGACTAGCAAACAGGCCTAACCTTTACTCACATTCGAGAAAACACTCCCAACAAGATTGCTTGCTTCAAGATCGAAGAGGCACCGTCCTCCGAATCTCGAGAGCCAGACTCCCAACATGATTACTTTCTCAAAAAGCGACGAGACACCGCTCTCCGAATCTCGAGAGCCAGACTCCTAGCAGGATTGCTTTCTCAAAAATCGAAGAGGCACCGTTCTCCGAATCTCGAGAGACAGATCCCCGACAGGATTGCTTGTTCGAAAACCGAAGAGGCACCGCTTTCTCAACTTCGAGAGCCCTTTAGATAAAGCTTGTCTCTAATCCTCACACCGCTTTCTCAACTTCGAGAGCCAGATCTCCTTGGATAAAGCTTGTCTGTAATCTTCACACGTAACATCAGCTTTCCAGATACCACATACCACATACCACTTTTTCAAAATGCTCTGACAGAGTTAAAACACATGAAGCTGGCAGCTCCCACTACCGTGCTATGACCAAGCAGGGTAAAAGAATAGTATTACTCCTTGTTAGGGAGACTCCTATATATGTCGACCTCCATCCTCAACGGACAGGCGGACCTGCAAAAATGCTCAACCCTTCCTCATATTTGAGAGAGCACTCTCAACGAAGCCTCTCGAAATACTCAGCTTTCTTTCCCCCCGAGAATACCTCTGCAAACAAGCTACACTAGAGCAAGAATATCTCATATCATCAGGGTTAAAAGCAAGAGTATCCCATATCATGCTTTTTCCCTGTCTTTTCCTTTGGCCTTGTTCTTACCTGCAAGACAAGGAGAAAGAGAGCAATCAGTCAGCACTTGGAATCAAGCTTCCAGTCCGGAACTGACTGCCTGGAACCCCATTGCTCTCGAGTACTCATCTTCAACATCTTATGCTTCCCGAGAAGATACCATATTTGCCTGAGGAACAAATAAGGCAAGTGAGAAGGATACAAGGAAGCATGTGGAGACAAGCGCAACAGAACACATGCCGATACATCCACTACTTTGTCAACAACAAAAGTATCCCATATCAGCAGGGTCGAACGTACTCTAGATTTGATGGACTTGTTTTGACCCTCAAATTCTTCAGTCGGCCTTATACTCTGGCGGAAACAAGAAAACCCTCCAGCCCAATTCAAGAATAAGCCTGTGGAAAGTTACTTCTTCAAAAGCAAAAGTATCTCATATCACCTTTTCTCCTTTTTCTTCTCTTTATCCTTCATGCTACTTGCAAGATAAGGAGAAGGATAACAATCAGCCGAAACTCGAAATCAAACTTCTGATCTGGGACTGATTGCTTGGAGCTCTGATTGCTTACCTTGTCTGTCACCTCTTTCAGCAGATCCCCTAGCTCGGCGACTTGGGGGACTCCTACTACATGGTTTGTATCGCGCTTGACCAAGCCTGAAAGTACAAGTAAGCGTAAAGTGAAATTGATACATTACCTTGTGCATCTCCACCAGTTAAAGATACCATCCCTGAAGGGAGGAAGAGTACTTTCAAAGAAGATGCCACATCTACCTATGAGACAGATAAGGCAAGTGAAGACGATACCACACTTCGGTACTTAAAAGTTTCGTGATTACGAGATCATTTTTCTACAATATTTCCTAATGTCATTTGTACTAAATCATTCACTTGTACTCACTAAAGGAGAGCTTGAACCTATATACTGTGTAAACCCTTCACAATTAATGAGAACTCCTTTACTCCGTAGACGTAGCCAATCTGGGTGAACCACGTACATCTTGTGTTTGCTTCCTGTCTCTATCCATTTACATACTTATCCACACTAATAACCGGAGCAATCTAGCGAAGATCACAAACTTAATATTTAAGATGATATTCTTTGGTGTATGCTTTTCGCAAACGATATAGTGTTGATAGATGAAACGCAGGAAGGGGTAAACGCGAAGCTTAACCTTTGGAGAGAAGTGTTGGAATCTAAAGGTCCTCGCCTAAGCCGATCAAAGACAGAATATATGGAGTGCAAGTTCAGTGCAAACGGAGGCCTGGATGGATGAAGTGCATCCGGCGTGTTGTGTGACCGTCGTAGGCCACTGAAGCTCAAGGGAAAATTTTATAGGACGGCAATAAGGCCGGCAATGCTGTATGGCATAGAATGTTGGGCGGTGAAGCATCAACACGTAGGTGTAGTGGAGATGAGGATGCTTCGTTGGATGTGTGGGCACACGAGAAAGGATAAGATTAGGAATGAGGATATCCGAGGTAAAGTAGGAGTAGCCGAAATTAAAGGAAATATGAGAGAAAATCGGTTACGGTGGTTTGGACATGTGCAAAGAAGGCCTACTGACGCTCCGGTTTGAAGATGTGACCACGGAACAGAGGTTCAGGGCCGAAGGGGTAGAGGAAGACCTAGGAAAACTTTGGAAGATACCTTAAGAAAAGACTTAGAGTACTTGGATCTAACGAAGGACATGACACAAAACCGAGCGCAATGGCGTTCTAGGATTCATATAGCCGACCCCACTTAGTGGGAAAAGGCTTTGTTGTTGTTGTTGTACCAATCCATTCCAATCCTAGGCACCAAACGAGCACTTAGGGTTTAGGTTCATTTTTCTTAAGTCGAGAGGTAAGGTATACAAAAGGAAACTACATACCTCGGATGGAAAGCCATTTTGATGCGTGCGAGACCTATTTAAACAACCACTAACTGTGATCATGATCCCATCTACTGTCTCAAGAACAGTGGCCGAATGTCTCTTGGAAATTGCTGCTGAACAAAAAACTCTTACTCCTAGTCTCCTGTCGTACGAAAATACAAAAATGATATTCAGATGAAGAATAATTCTTAAGACATTCATCAGGACAGAAATGAGTTGAGTAACTAAGATGCAACATATTCCTGCACAAATCCAATGCCACAGATCGAACAAGAAAAGTTCAACAGCTGATCAGCGAAGTAATTTTCCATTCTGTATGTTATCCAAAACAACTGTCGCATATAGCAACACCGTCGCTCTATAGTTGGAGCTGGATAGTTTTCAAAATTGAAATACTAGTTTCACTCTCAAATTAGTAGTTTCCCAAGGCCTTTTCGCCACACGAAAGTGTAAGGGGAATCAAAAACTGGTTACACACACATCACAAAACTTATTTCAGAAAATTCTTGTCTTCTCAAACAATCATTAGACCAGGAAGACATAGCACAAAAGTAGGTTGGCTAATTGAACAGAGCAAAAAAAGTAAAATTTCGAAACATTCAAGCTGTCATAAACTGAATTGCTTTTACTTAAACCCCTAATTCTTCAAATTCACACTGAAAAAAACCGGAAACAACTCCGATTCCTTTCTGGGTTCCGTTTAGTTGCCTTAGAATTTTGAAATTCCTCAAGAACAAGCAAACATCTCAAAGCAAAATCAAACAGAAATAATAGAGTGAATAGTTACGAAAGAAAGGGTATTACTCTCTACAAGCAAATCCTCCAACGGCCAAGCCCTTTCCTTTACCCTTTACCAGCCACCAATCTTGCAACAAGACCTGTCAAAAATATCCAAAAAAATAAGAAAAATAATCGAAATCAAAATGTTGAAAAGAAGAAGAAGAATGCGTTGGGAATTCACCGATTTGACTGAGGCGGGTGTGATGGCGGTGCTCGAGAATGGGGTTTTGGGATTTCGGGCAATTGAATGGGGATCCCGATCATTTGCAGGCGTTTTCGGGTCCGGAGTTGCAGAGGCCGCCGCCGCCGCCTTTCTTCTTGTCGTAACCATTGCTGTGTCGGAGTGGCGGCAACTATTCAGTTTCGTCAGTAACAGTCCACTTAGTTTCAACTGAACGAAAAATTTAGACAAATATTAATTTCAATCCAAATATTCGGAAAATATGTTTTTAATTTCAATCCAAATATTCGGAAATAGAGTATTTATCAAATATAGTCAAATATTAATCTCTGATTTCAAAAATATCAGTTTTTATAAAAAAATTAAATATATTTAAAATATCATTTAAATAGACACAAATACCTTCAATTTATACAAATAACTAGTTGTTGATTAAAAGGTTCTTGTGCGATAATCAAGTGGTGGTTTCACTAATTTTTCTAATATGCACCCGAAGAACTTCTATTCCGTAAACCTTAAAATATGCTTTTTGCACTTTCTAAGAATACAATAAATCTCTCGATTCACTAGCACATTCAATGATAACCTTCAAAACAGAATCTGGATGCAGACAACACCCTTAATAATGCAAAGGTGGAAAATTAAATACGAAGCACATATAATCCAAAGGAAAATTGAGATAAATAATGTTACAAAAATTGACAGTTCATTCTTCCATAAATATTCAATCGAAGGGAGAAACTACAACAACAAAGAGAAAACATAGACGAGGAACAGTGCAAAAAATTAACCATCTACAATCATCTTCGTTTAGGGGTGCACAATTTTTCACCAACAATCGATGTCTTCACTAGGTCTCCTCCAATTTTAAGGTTTAGCTGTGAGCACTCTTCATCTAATAGGGTTTTTGTTTTTTAATTTATTAGGTTTAAAGTTTAAGGTATTTGTGTCTATTTAAGTGATATTTTAGATATATTTGAAAGTTTTTATAAAAACTTGTATTTTTAGAATTAGGGGCTAATATTTGACTATATTTGATAAATACTCTCGGAAATGAGTGAATCAATTTCAATTTTTTCGAATCGAAATTTCGGAATCTCGTAAACTCATGCTGATTTGAAATTTTCAGAATTGGGTTAAATTTGGAATTTTAAATTATGGAGTGCATGATCTCCAATTGTGTGAGTGGAATGAGGACCCTCCGGATCTTCTTTGTGGGGTGCCCAGAACACAAGGCAAAACATCACATGTAGTATTCCACCCGTGTTTTGGGCTCACGAAAAAATATCTGGTGGAGATGGAGACTGGTTCAAAAGCAAAACTCACAATCTTTTCTCAGTAAGATTGTTTATGGTACTACATTACTAATACAAAACATTACAGTGATAAAACTACTGAATAAATTAGGCTATTTGTATTGTAATGTGCAACGACTTTGAACCTTCAGGTAGTCTTGCTATAACTTCCAAGAGTACAAGATTTATTTAAAAGATTACAGCAAGCTTCAGTTTTCCGACTGCCCGAAATATCTACCTGAAATCGTGGCAAGAATGTTCAGCATTACTGCCTCGTCGTCAAGTGTAGACTTTGCAGCTCGCAAGGCAGCGCACTTCCTAAGCAGACTCCGAAGAGAAGCGCTGGTATCAGCATCTAGTGGCATATCAACTACCGCACAGAGTGCAAATAGCCACAGGCAATCATTCCTTGACAGAGTAGTCATGTCCTCTACCGCTTTTATGCGTTTTCTCAACATTGACACTCGAGCTACAGAGTCCATTTTTAAGATCACCGACAACAAGGGGGTGTCGCTGGAACTTTGAGTCACACAAAGCTTGGGACTTGAGTTCTCGGCAGGAAGTGAGGCATTATTTTCTGAATTAATTGACAAGGATGGCTGATCTGTGGAGCTCCCAACGATGGAACAGTCCTGAAGCCAGTTGAAGTCAACTTCCTTGGATTCTACATTAAGTAACTTTTCAAATTTTCCATGAAGAATAATGTTTGATTGGGGACCTCGAGACGTGCTTGCATGAGAACCCTCAAAACCAGACAGAGCCTGAAATTCAGATAAAAGTATAAGTCAGAAAATGAAGTCAGCTCTCATTTAAGCAAAGGCATTACCTTGCCGCCTTATGATCCCTAGTTTATCAAACGTTCTCAAATCTTTTTCGATATAAATAAATTCAAGAAAGCTCGGCTCTTAGTTTTGGAAAAGAATGTTGAAAAAGAAAAAAGAATTGCCAACATGTACACCTTTCTTCCAGCTTTATGATGCATTTCCTATTCTTCTGAAGAACACGACTAAAATAAAAATTGTCCTAATCAGCAGACATCACTAAAATGCATTCCCTACCCTCCACATTCATAACGATTTTGGCTCCCGACTGAGTCTACCAAAACTAGAAACATCTTGTGGCAGAAAAACGGAGATATTTCAAAAATATTGAGCAAATTAATACAAAGAATGCAAAGAAGGGGGAAAAAGATTTCCATGCAAAAGGATTTCAACTGTTGTGATCAATAATAAGGGAAGTGAACTAAAAAAAGCAGAGCTGACCAACTTTTAATCAATTTTCATGTTTACTATGCCAATAATTAGTTCTCGTATGGGAAGTGGACGAAGAAAAATTAGGAGGCGAACATACCAGCCTTAGCTCTGAAAATTCCGCAAGAAATGCATCCTCCCACTGTTTCAGGGGCATGAATTGTTCTGGACACTTGGCAATCTCAGGAATCTTGGGCATATAAGCACTCTGCTCCTTGTTAAATTTACTTCTATCAACCTTGGCTATCTTCACTTTCGGAATTTGGGCAGCTTCCCACCTAAGAAAGAGAGACAAATACCATTAGTACAATTATCACTTTCAAACTTACTCAGGATTACCACATGACTACCTAAGCACATCCCCTTATACATTGATCTAAGGACAATGGAATCAAATAAAAAAAAACATTCTGAGTCAAACAGGTTTCTCACAGAAGGAAAAAGTAATTAAACCAACCTATTAAATCTATTTAAAACATTTCAACAATTAGAACTCATAAGAAGCTGAGAGACAGAGAGCGATTCAATAGTTTCATCTCCATCAAGTCTTTCTAATGTGTCAAAATTTTAGTTATAGAGGCTTCTTTATGGTTCAAATATCGCTTCAATGCATTTGATTAACACATAGGCTCACCATATGACATGTTGACTTCGACCTCTACACAATTCCTGACAGCCAAACTTTAACAACTTTTGGCAAAAAGCTCTCAGTGGATGCACCGCATTTCAGATGCTTTAGCTAATAGGTGATCTGGACTGAAGATATGGACCACTGATCTATGTTCTAACACTCTCGCTTAACCTTGGGCTCTCTAGTTATGAAATTGAACATAAATACGAAGAGTGTTGCAGGGATTTAAACACAGAGATCTTCCACTCTAAGACCATGTGAGTTTTATTGGTTTGCAACTGTTTCTAAAATCTTAAGCTTGCCTACATAATGCAGAGAAGGAAACCTTGTTTGAATCTTCCTCCTCAATGGGGTGTATGTGCAAAAGAGATTCTGAATGTCTGAATCATTTAATGCTTTATTGTCCAGCTGCGTATTTTTCGAGGATAACGCTGCTATGGGGGTACAGATTGAGTTGGCAAATCCCAGCTTATTATGCATTACTTTGTGAGAAGAATACTATTTTACGGAGGGGCAAAAAGGGCATGGTGATAGGAAGACGTGGTTCTGTAGTGGCAATATTTTGTTTGTTTGAATGGAGAGAAATAGAACTCTTGAGGGATGTGGACCGTTTGTGGGACACATTTGTTTCTGGACAACTGACGAGCTTCAACTTCCTCAGATTTCAAGGACTTTCATGCTATCTCATGTGTATTAGTTGCCCTTTGTTTTCATTGGTTTTCTGTTTTGCTGTTCTTTAGTTGGGTGTAGTTTAAGGAACTCCTTGTCCCCTGTTTTGTAATTTCCTCATCTTTTCAATGACAATCTTTGTTTCTTATCAATGAAAATCTAAGTTTTTTTAAGATAGGCAACGGTCCTTTAATGGATGAAAAATGAATATGGTGACAAGGGTTGAAAGATGTAACATTAATCCCAAGGATGTACGATCCTTCAGTTGAATCAATAAAATTTGTATTAAGCATCAACGAAGAACATCACAGAAAAGAAGGCAAAGAATAAACAAAACCATACTGAGTTGATCAATATTATAGAGGACAAGAAAGCATGGTAGAAAAGATATTGCTTAAACGAATAAGGCCTTGTGGTTTACGATGAATAAAAGGATTTAAGCAGGGAAACAATAGAACTGTTACCATGACTCCAGAAATCACTCCTAGAGAGAAACATATACTCGCTGAAAATTCTCAAAACGCAATCATGTCATAAAAAAAATTATCAATGACTCCAGAGTCCAGACATACGATTAACCTAAACATACATTGGACTAAAATTAACTCATGACTCCAGACACACAATTATCCAAGATTCAGAGTGGTTCTAATGGTGCCCTTGGTAAACTTTTAAAGGCAGCTGCCACTTATGCCCATCAGAATATATATAACACAAGGAAATCTGATCCTATGATTTTGTATCTTTTGCATGCCAGAAAGACTCCCAAAGACACAGTAATGTAGGATCTACTATAGAAATTATAACAATATGTTCGGACAATAATCTCTGTTGTAACTAGTAATCCCAAGCAACCAATCACCCTTGGCAACCAATGTTCAACCCCTGGCGTATACACCATTTCCATTATCAACTTACACATGTACCAGGTTTGACCAACAGAAATTCATACCTCAATGTTATAAGACGCTTGTCTGTATCATTTCCTATAGCAGCAAGAAAAATTACTCCTATTACTCTTTTTCCCATATTTATTTTTACTCTTTTTCCTATATTTCTATTGGTTTTAAGGCCATGTTAAAGCCTACTTCCTGGAGGCAGTTAGCATTATCAATCAGGAACTGAGGGAAACAGGATTGGATAGACATGACCATACAATTATACCTGACACGCCTAAGATACTCAAGTCCATCTTCTGGTGAACCAGACTCAAAATTGGGTTCTCCATCAACTGCAAAGGCAGGTCTCTGAATGCTAGCATAATCTTCGTCACTGTCATAATCCTCAGTGCACTCTTTTTCTTGAAATGGGTGGCCGTCTTCATCAGTAGCACTGTAACTGCAAAAAGGGTCCAGGGCACTTGCATCTTGAGTTTCATTATTCACCAAGTTTTCTAATTCAATGTCCACATTTTCCGAAAATGATTCCCCTGAAAGTAATCACAAAAACCTTAGCAATCAAACAAATGTAGAAGCAACTGATTTGATCCAGACAAAAGAAGATGGGAACTTTTTATCTTTTAGTCTGACATCGGTAGAAGTAAAGGAAAACAGGTTCAAGAAACTCATTTCATTCAACTATGCAATCGAAGCAATTGTACTTCACATGGGATATCATTTTACTACTGTTCATCTACAGAAAGAATTATGTACCAACATCTAACTATGTTTCACAAACTAGAAGACCAAAAGCAAGAATTTCCGTGTACAAGGACTGCATACAAGTAGTACACAGAACAACTCCCTATCAAGGACCTAAAGTCACAAAAGAAGAAACATATGTCGAGAAAGTGGACATCAAGTCATTTGCAGGTTGCTTTGGGCCATTCTTCAACGTACAAAGATATTCATTTGATTCCACCTTCCCCTTGAAGCAATGGCACCTGTGCACAACAGAAATTGAACCCATCAAATTGACACAATCAGAGCTAAGAAGAACAAGAAAAAAGGCATCCGAAGGAACTCAGAAGTTTCCACAAATGGACTACAAGAACGGAAGAAATTTTTTTTTGTGAAGTTTAAGAGCTGCACTCTTGAAAATAAAGGACTATGAGTGTAACCAGGAACAGAAAGACAAAGATTGAAAATTTCATGGGGAAAAAGAGAAAGGAAAAACTGTTCATATGATCATATCCCTTGCCACTTATTGCCTCTGTGCCTACTAAACTCACCCAAGAAATAACAAAACGGCTAGCTTCCCTTAAAGGGTGAGTTTGTTTGACCTCTATCATTACATTGACAGATACCAAGGCAAGTAAGGTCACACCCAAACAACCCTTTAATGGTAAAAATGCCAACAGGCAGAATAAGCAGTTCAGTAAAATGTTCACTTTATCACAAAGACATGCATTCATGAAGAATGCCTTGCTATAGCAAAACGAACTATATACATAAATTAAGAATGCTTTGCTGCGAAAACTCATTCTGTAAGGTTCTTCCAATGATATGCACTATAATTGAAATTTATAAACGAGTCATGCAAGGACGCGGAGTATAAGCTGCAAGGTTCTAATTACGAAAACAACAAAACAAAACGATTCAATAACTATTTGCAGACCTCCATACTTAGTACAATTACTAGCACATATAAGTTACAAAAAAAATAATTTAAACACAGGCTCACACTGAAAAATAATTAACTCATTAAACAAGTTACTAGTAGATAAAGTTTCTTACATCAAACAACAGAGTTTTAATAACAATTAGGACATAAATTAACAAAAGAAAGCATATCAAGCAACAGTACTTACCAAGAATACCAGGTCCCGCTTCCATCTTCTCAAAGCGTTTGCGATGCTCAAAGTTATTGTGGGTGTTCTTCTGTTGCTTAGCACTTGCCATATCATCATACTCCTTTGCCACGACTGGCCCAAGGCCACTGTATATATCCTTCCACAGTTTCTTCTGTTCCACCACATTGACATACCTCATGGCCTCCAACTCCTTCCTCGAGTAACTGATCTTGGTTCCTTTCCCTTTCTCAAAACTCAGGCTACTAGCTTCAACCAGACAATGCGCCACTTTTTCCTTTTCCCCCACATCGACAAACCGCATGGCCTCCAACTCCTTCCTCGAGTAAATGATCTTGGTTCCTTTCTCTTTCTCTAAACTCAGGCTACGAGCTTCAACCAGACGATTCGCCACCTTTTCCTTTCGCGCTGCAGCTCTTGCTTTTTTCCCATTCATTTCTTGCTTTGCATTCTTGTTTCCATTCCTCTGTGCACAACCCAACTCCTTCCCACGGCCATTGCCAGGGAGTATCATCAATGCAGTATCATCAATTACTTCAATCTTGAAAGAACCAACAGACCCATCAGCAGCAGTTTTCACCTGCGCCTTCTCTGCAGGCGCAAGCATTGCTTCCACTTCCTCCAGTAATTGCTTCTTCTTCGCTTCCAGGGAGCTCTGAGATTCCGCTGCTTTTTCGAAAGACTCAGTTGCAGACTCCGTTTCTTGCATCAACTTTTGAATGCCAGAGAAACCCACTTCGCCTTCACCCTTCTTCTCATCATCCAGAGTCTTTGCAGTCTCAGTTGTCACGAATTCACCATCAGAAACAAGACCCACCTCGCAATTTCCCATGAAATCTTGGGCAACTCCATCAGATGCAGGAAACCCAGAAACGAAACCCAAAGATACGAGCTTTTCATTCGCAGAATTGGGAATTTCTTGAAGTTCTTCAAGATGGGTCTCAGAGACTTGGCCGTGAGGTGAACTCTTGTCCTTCTTGGAGGACTCGGAGACCAAACAAGGAGAGCTCTTTTCGATGAAGTCTGCGTCTTGTTTCAGAGGAGAAACGATCTCAAACGAGTGGCTATCTTGTTCTGGAATTGCAGACGGAGAATCAGAGCGTTGCGGGAGAGTTTGGGTTTCTTCGGAATCTTTGATTGTTCGCTTGAAGCCGACGCATGTATCAGAATCCATATCATCTGCCATAGCTTTGGGGACAGAGAGAAATGGACAGAGAAGGGGAGAAGAGAGTAGCTTTGGGGACGAAGAGAGATGGAGAGAGAGAGAGAGAGTCTGTTAAAAGGTTCGTTTCTGAGGAGCGATGAAGTATGTAATGCTCCTGGACATTTTCTCTTTCTCGAAAAAGGGTTTAGGGTTTAGCGGCAACTCAACCCAGACCCAACCCAAGCCCAAGCCCAATTCATTATGAATTATTCAGACTTCGTATTTTATATTTTTACATTTAGGTTTTTTTTTTTTTAAACAATTTAACTCTTTCATATTTACTAATCTGTTTAATGACCATTGCGTTTTCAGTTTTAAAAACACTCAAGTTGGGGATGAATTTAATCTTCGTATTTTAGATTACAATTTATTCTTTTAGTTTACTAAAGGTACTTGGCGTTCCAATTCAGTCCCAAACATGCACTTTTCAGACTGAGAAAGCAAAACTGCTTGACGTTACTTATCAAAACTCATTAAAGCTCGATTCGCATCATTATGCTCGATAAAAGGAAAAAAAATTTCCAAAGGTAGAATTTATTAAATTCATAGTCAAATAGAAACATTTACAACCTCATCTATTATGTTAAACAAAAACTCAGGCTTAAAGAATCCCACAAGAAGGAATTAGAGAAGGTCTAATAGAAAAATATTAGAAGGGGAAAATACTTCGAAGATGAACTTATTCTCATGCAACAGTCAGGAATCTTATTTCTTTCAATTTTTTATTTTTTTTTTGTTTTTTGGTTTTTCGTTATTTATTTGAAGCAACTTTTTCTTCCATAGTGCGAAGCAATGAGAGGTCTAAAAATTAATAGTTAGATTTTGCATATAGGAATTTAATGGATCTTTAAAGGTTAAATCTTGCATAAAACTCATACTATTGAAGGGTACATACCATTGTAACACAACAACAAAAAAAACAAGTACAAAAAAGCAAGCGAAAGCTAAAAGATCGTCAATTATAAGCATCTGTCATCGGCCATGTTTGGCGAAGATACCATGGCAACCGTACTAGCGTTCAGAAGAAGAAAAAAAAACTTAAGGAAGAAGTAGCAATCGAAAGAGTGGGAAAGTTTGGTGTAACCAAATTTCATTCATTTTCTATTGATGACGTAATAATTACAACTGGGAGTACTTATATATAATAACCAATGACATAATGACAGTTGGCAGAATCCTAGACACTCGTCAACTCTATAAGAGAAGTCATTTTCATGCTTTGGGCAGCTTCTAATAAATTAATTATATGGTTGTTTCTCTTTTCCTTAATTATTTTCAATTTTATATGTCAAGGAATCACTAGTCAATGCACCTCTCACTCTAATTTATAGGGTTGACATTTGAACTTAATATAAAATCTTCAATGCAAACGTGTCTTCTGTTATTAGAAACTAGCATTTACCTACATATTTTGTGTGTACGAACATATTTTTTTAGAAAATGAGAAGAAGAGAGGGAGAGAGAGAGAGAGAGACCGTGGAGGGGGGTGCGAGGTTTTTGTTTTTGGTTTTTTTTTTAATTTAATTTAATTTTTTTTATTGGAGGTATTTTAACATTACCTGTAGGTGAGGTTTTAATAAAAAACAGTAAAATTTGAACCTGTGAAATTACATTATTGCCCATCATTTTTTTGTGTGATAGAAGACTAATTTGTCTTTTCACTCTCTTTTGGTTGACAAAGAAGGTTTTATTAATTAGTAGATATTAGGGTTCATTCAAAATTGGAACTTGTAAAATCAATAATTCAAGTTCATAGAGGCATGCGAGTGAGCAACAAAGAATCTCTAACCTTTGATAAGAGAGAATTATCAATATAATTGGAAAATCTATGGTTTCGATAATGATTTGGGAAGGTGTTTCTAACCATCTCAAGTGAATCATATGAACTAGACACAGTATTAAATTAGACAAAGATCGTACTGCATTGGAATTCTGACCGATCGCCGGAGAAGAAACGATTGCTTGACAGTAATTTACACTTGGGGTACTTTTGAATGGCAGTTTTTTGTGCCACCGGTGGCAAAGAAAAGTAACCTAAAACGTCCGGCTAGGTCGAGGCCGTGTGCACAATCATATCCGCCCTATATTACATTTTCCGTTGCAAAACATACGCTGTGATAGCTCATTAAGATTACAGAAGTCAAAGAAAGCAAACAATATTCAGTGAAAAATATATCCACCTCACAATCCAACCCCCAAGTCAATTCATGGCGAAAAAATTAGACATACAGCACTCAGCAATGACATGAAACTGGCCAAACCAATCCTACACATCCAATCTCATATATGAAATGTAAAAAAATGAAACTATATATAATGTTTACGATGAAATCAGCGGGAGGCAGTTGAAAGCAGAGTGTTTCAAGGACGCAGAAATTCCAGCACAAGGAAAGACTGAGGCCCTTGCCTTCAAGACTCCGGAGCTGCTGCTGGTGGCTTCAGAAGCGGTTGAAGAGCCTTCACAACAATGCTCATATTTGGCCGGAATTCAGATTCATATTGCACACACAGTGCTGCAACGGCTGCCAGCTGCATCAACAAAACAACAAAACATAAAAAGCCCAAAAAAAGTGAGTACACCACTGATGGTTTAAACGTGCACAAATGCATAGGGGCAGGCAGGTGGAGTGTGCGTATGGTTGTGGGGAACGTGTGTGTTCAGAGAGAGAGAGACAGTTTGTGTGTGTAGGTGTATATGGTTGTGGGGATGTGTGTGTAGAGAAGGATACAGAGAGCTGTTCAGAGAGAGAGAGAGAGAGAGACCTTCGCGACCCCCTTAGCAGGATAATCCTTTAGCTTTGGATCAACACATTGTTTAACTTTGTCTTCGCTCAATCTTGGAGTAGCCTAAAGAAAAGCACGGTAAATGTCAGGTAAAATTAAGTCCAACAGAGAATTGGTAGATCAGTTGTTCGAAGAAAAGCAAGTATATAGATTCACCCAAGTAACAAGACTCTGCTGTCCACGAGGCATTGTATGATCAACAGGTTTCCTCCCGGTCAGAAGTTCTAGTAGAACCACTCCAAAGCTGTACACATCACTCTTCTGTGTCAATTGGCCTGTCATTGCATACCTGCAGAATAGTTTTGCAAATTCAAATTAATTTTGATCTATAAACTAATTACACTCCTCAAAGACAGAAGAAAACTGAATTGATACAGGGATGATTCGGAATAGGATACATTAAGAAAGGTGCTTCTAGAAGAGAAAAAAAGCTTCACAATTCCTCTTTAAAAATATGTACAGCGATCAGACTAGTTGACATCATAAATGTAATATATTCAACTACTTAAACTACTCTTCAATAATAACATGATCCATTGACAGCAACTATCATCATATGCATTTGAGTCATGGACATGTGTTTACCATGTCTGGATCTGGCACAGTTCCAGTTGAATACAATCCCAATTGTCACTTATTATGGCGACAAAGGAAAGGATATCTGAATAGTTCTAATTTCATCTCTGAATAGCACTTTCCTTTTCTTTAATTAAAATTGATTTCTTCTCAGGAAAAAAAGAAACTGATAAAATCATATTAAGAGGAAGGCATGCTTTCAGAAAAAAGTGAAGTAGCAGTTGACCAAACTAAAATGCACTCAAAAAAACATGCTGTGAAAACTTGGAACCAAACACTGAAACAACAAACCCAACAAAAGGAAAAAACAAGGGACCATAAATTATATGAAAATAACCATATAAATGTAGAATGTTCCAGAGCCATACTCTGGGGCATGATAACCAAATGTTCCCAAAACTCGAGTAGAATGAAGACGAGCAGCCATATCAGGAGCCTGATTCGACAGATTAAAATCTGCTATCTTGGCTTTGAAATCTTCAAAGAGAAGCACGTTGCTAGATCTTATATCTCTGTGTATGATAGCTGGTTGAACCTTCTCGTGTAAGTATTCCAACCCCCTAGCTGCCTCAACTGCAATTCTTACCCGCTGCATCCAGTCTAGTGTAGGACCAGGTTGAGCCCCCTGAACTCCCTTTCTACCTATAATTGCACTCACATTCATTAATGTATTCTAGTTTCTACAAGAAAAATTCAAATCAAGTGAAGATGAATTATAAATAAAAAAGGCAAGATGGTTTTACAAACCATGTAATATGTCATGTAGAGATCCCATGGTTGCAAACTCATAAGCCAGAACGCGCAGATTTCCATCAACACAGTAACCAAGCAACTCAACAAGATTTTCGTGCTTCAGTCTTGATACCATGGAAACCTGTAGCAAAATATGTCAAGATACAGTCAGATACAGTGAGAAACAAGAAGTCACATATCAAATAACTAAACTGAGATACAAATATACTTCAAATGATAGAGTTGCAGACAGACCTGGGTCAAAAACTCAACATTTGTCTCAGGTTCAGATGCAACGTCAAGCTTCTTCACTGCCACAGCTTTACCATCGTTCAAGCTTGCATAATATACTCTCCCATATGAACCTTCACCAATCAATGATTTGGATCCAAAATTGTCAGTCTTCTCTTTCAGCTCCTCCACAGATAATTGAGGCACTTCAATAGGTGGAGCAGCCTTCTGTACTTCAGATTTTACAGGAGCTGACACCTTAGATCCCTTTTGGTTCCCTAAACATGCACGAATAGATGAAGAAAAGTAAGTGAAAAGTTAACGGAAACCCAAAAAACAGATATTTTTTTTTAACGAACCCAAAAAACAGATATGGATCGTGGTAGAAATGCATGATGGCAAAGGTCATACAGTAAACGTGGCAATGGAATATAAACATTTTCAAGAAATGTACGTTGTCACTGTGGCATAATGGCAGTTGCCTAGTGGAAGCGAAGAGTAAATTAAGAAAATGACATCCCGGGGATTTAACTTGAACTCAAAATTTAGAACTTTAACAATGATTCTAAAATCACTAGAAACTTCAAGAACTAAAACCGTAGGTTACAAAAATGATTTCCTTTTCTCAATTACATGCAAATCTGCTTAAGGAAAGTCAAAAACGTACCATCTCCATAGTGATTTGGGCTCTTCAGGCGTTCATTTTCGTTTGATGGATAAGACTCTTCGACGTGACAAGCACAACAGAGCCACCTGCGCATCCT